GTGAAATCGTGTTTGGTTATAATTATTAATTAATATATTATAACATTGTAAATAAGTAATAGAAAATGAAACAGAAAAAGAAAAATAACTTTCAACTGTAATTTAATTCATTCACAAAAATCATTCTCATTGTTTTTTGTTTTCATTTTCGTTTTCAAAACGTTTACTAAACAAACACGGTTTGTAGACCGTTTTTATTTTTGTACCTCAAAAAACGTGTATAAATATTTTTAAAAACAAGTAAAAATCAATTCCAAACGTACCATTAAACTCTACACGACAAGATTGAGTCAAGTATAAAGTTACCGCTTGAATATGTTTGTAATCCCAAGAACCACGAAGTTTCACATGTTACCTACATATAAATTTTGTAATAACCACTTTGCATGTCCTCGCATCTTCTTTCACTAGAACTTGATACCAGGCAAATTACCATTAAGATGGTTTAATGGACTCTTTGTTCCCGAACTCAAATTTTCCACGTATGAACCTCACCCACTCAGAATACAATCCGAACATGTTAAACACATCAACAAGTTCAACATATTTGTACATTCCTTTAGACACAATTTCTCAACGGAACAACAGCCTGTCAAGATTGTAGGGCACCCGGTTCGTAGAATCCAATACGACAATGCAGAATGGGCGCTGAGGATTAATTGTTCTGTCGCATAAATCTAATTCCTTCGCGTTAAAAGGAGACAGAAAAGATAGCACAAGTAGTATGCCGTCAAAATTGCAAGGACATACCCGCCGAGTTTCACTCTTGTTTGTTCAGCATAGATTTATTGCGCAGACGTAAACGAGCGCGTAAAAACTTGAGGAGCTCTTGTCGACCAAAAATGGTGCCATTCGGGAATTCAGAGCCACATGTATCTCCAACGCAATGAAAGGAAAGGAGGCTCACTTGGACGACATCAAAGGTGGGAATGATAAGAAAACTCCGATAGCCTGTCCAAAGCCATAGTGTTTCCTTCACCATGAGCCTATATTCTATTGCCGTTTCGCTCTTTTTGCATCCATGGTTTCATTGATGATGAGCTTTTAGAAAGAAAGAAATCCTACTAGCACTTACAACAAACACCACATATACATATTACAAGAGGATTCAAAAAGTGACCATTGGACTTTTGTAATTCTAGTCAGCTCAAATATCAAGATCGCTTCTTGTAATGGTACATTGTATCTGGAAATTTAAAAAAAAAAATGACAATTTGTAGCCAAAGTCACCTATATCTTGTAAATAGAATTAAAATCTCTTACGATAAGCTTGATGGAAGTTTTGTCATTTTGAGTTCTAGAAGAATCAAACTTGGACGTTGTTATATATGGCCCTCCCATGGTGAATAAACAGGAAAATTGATGAAAACAGTGGAAAGTATTTCTCATTTAGTTCATTGACAGCGCACATACTTACTAGCGATTTAATGGTTTCTATATAATTGTTTTGTGCCTAGTCAGGTATCGCCAAGAGTAAAATGAGAATGAGATGATATAATTCCTCAATGGATTCATTTGGAAAAATATCTTTGAGGCCTCATATGACGACATAGATTGCAATATTTTTAGGCTAGCTAGAATGTTTACTTTTTAGGTTGTATGTAGATCAGTGAAACTATAAAAGTAAAAGGCAAAAAGCAACATCCACAATGAGATGAGATGAGCCAAAGTGAAAAAACAGAAGAGGTCCAAAAGGGTAGGAGGACATCTACACGTAAAATAACAAAAACTAATGCTAATGTCATCTCATTGTGCAATCTTATATGTAAAACAAGTAACAATTCCGACATTGTCACCAGCCCTCGCAGATAATATCCGAATCGTCTAGGGATACCGATCAGAAAAGAGAATGCCTAATCTCTTCAAACGTAGAGTGTGTTTCTCTTCCACCAAAGCACCAACGAGACTTGTTTGTTGCCTCAATTCTTCCTTCGATCAGCGCAGCTTCCATTCCGTTCTCTTCAGCATGATCGGTGGCATCAAATCCACTCTCCAATATCATGACAACTTGCCTCATCGTTGGCCTTCCCCGAGGCTCAGGATGCGCACACAACAATCCCAAAAAAAGAAACTTCTCAACTTCCTTCATGTCACATCCACTTTTGTCCTTTAGCCTCTTGTCAAGAGCACAAAGTAATTCCCCTGTCTCCATTAGCCTCCTTACCCAATCGACCAGGATTGGCAAGCACTGCTCAATGGATTTTCGGCCGCAAACCACTTCAAGAACCAATACCCCAAAACCAAACACATCAGTTTGAGCGGAGATTCGCCCATTTTGAACCAATTCTGGCGCCATGTATCCCAATGTCCCAACCACTCTTGCGTTGCTGACTAATTGACCGTGGTGCATTCTAGCCAATCCAAAGTCTCCCAGCTTAGCATTCATTTCCTTGTCAAGCAACACATTGCTTGCCTTAATGTCCCTACGTAAAACCTTAGCTTCCCAACCCTCATGCAAATAGAAAATCCCACTAGCCACATCTTTCAAGACTTAACCCTCTATTCTCAAGCTAGTAACAAACTCTCATTACAGTCAAATATCCTCTTGTCCAAGCTTCCATTTTCCATGTAGTCATAAATCAATACTAAGCTTCCTGTCTCTCTCTTGCACCAACCTTTTAGTCCTACCAAGTTTCTATGCTTCAATCTCCCTAGGCTTGAAATATTGACCAAAAACTCTCCCATTCTGAGCTCGCTTTCGAGTGAAGTTCTTTTTACTGGAACTTCTAGCCCTCTCGGAAAAACTCCCTTAAAGATCATTCCATTTCCTCCTCACCCAATTAAATTTCTCTGAAAATCCATCTGTTGCGGTTTAAATCTCTTGGTAATCAATGCGGTGTGGCCAATACTCCGATTCCCAATCTTCAGCTTTCACTTCCTTTCCCTTTTCCTCTCTCTCATAATCACATATTAACTACAAACCAACTACTAACTAGTAGGAAAATGCCAAGAGAACTAACCCCTATAATAAACCTGGAGTCACCAACAAGGAGGAAATTGGAGGAGTTGAAGTTGGTGTTGATTATTGAATATGAACTCAGTTGTGGATGAAACCAGTTCAAGTCTAGGATTATTATCACCATGGTTGTGGTGAGAAAGAGAGTAAGCATTGGCAGAGACATTTGGGAGGCAAAGAAACGGTGGTAGATTATGATAAGTCTACCAGATAATTTCTTCTGTCAAAGTATCATAATGCACATATGACATATCTAATATAGTCTAATATAGGTTGAATTTTGCGGTGAGATAAATTTGACAAACTCTACAAACTTATTTATTATATGTCCCGCTAGATAGATACATGAAGTTGAAAATGTATTGATAACCACTTGACATGATCGCTAGCAGCATGCCTTCTCTGACTTCTTAGTAGTTCGATTTTAGAATTTAGAGTTTTAGACCAAATTTGGGGGTCTAGACCTGGTGATGACCAAGAAAATTTCCTTCAGACAGATTGCTCTACTCTGTGCTTGAATTCCATCTTTCCAAACAGGCTTATCACCCTAGAGCAAGATGCACATGTACCCTGAATCCCTACATACATATATATATATATATATATATATATATTGCTTAAATGTTTAAGTTTGGTATCTTTGTTCTGTAAATGTTTTATAAACCTCAACAAAAATAAACTCTTTTTTTTTCTTTTTTTTTCCGTTTTTCCTATTGAAATAATTTCCTCCTAGTCAAAAACTATGTCACACCGATAGGGTATATTTTCATACACTACCTGAAATTTTCAAATAAACACGTACTGACATGTGGCTTGCAGTTCAAGTATAATTAATAGTTCTATGTGTTAAATGAATTGTTCACTTTTAGACCAAGAACAGTGATAATCTTGCCAAACTTAACCAAAAAAGCTACTTCTATTCTATGTAACTCAAATTCGAAACCAAAGCATCCTTGATCCGATAAGTAACAACTGTGGTATGTGAAAGCCGCAATCAGAATAATCCTAGAAAAAAAAAAGGGAAAAAAAAGGGTCCACATAGTAAATGCCACCACTCTTTTGTCTCCATCAAAATGGTTGAATGAAAAATGAGCTTGGTTTTGGCCAAAATTATGATCACTCAGATGCCCAGGAAAAGCTATATCAAAATTATCAGCTACCCCTCAATGAATTAACATATACAGAATCAGACATAGAATCATTATAGAGACATTTTAAGAAGATTATGAATTAAAAACTGTTTCCCGTGTCAAAAAAGTAGCCGATTGGAAACTGGAATGCAACCAAAAAGACCGCAGAACATAGTCTAAAAGCAGGATAACCCGCATATCTCTCATCTCCAGTCTAATTTTTAGGCATCCTCATCTAAGGAGAAAACAACTTAAATATTAAAATCCTAATCTAGTTCTGAAAATAAAAATAAATCCTAATGAAAATAGAAATTCAAACTAAATAAAATCCTGATAGGACCTACTGGTTTTGTTCTATCAGTAATGTCTCCAAAGATGGTGAAGTCCAAAGCAATGCGCGTCTCAATTCAGCTTCACTCGACAATGGCAAATCAGTTGTTACCTTCAGATGCTTAAGAGTAGGCAAAGGCAACCAACTGTTCCTTCTAAATTCACGTGGAAAGATAAGAGCCTCCACATATTAACACATCAAATAAAGGAAAAAGGATGTAAGTTAGTGCACAGAAAATCAAAATGAAAAGAACGATAAAAAAGAAATATAGAGCATGCAGTCTAGTGATACCTCTTCAGAGTGAATTCCCAGGCTCACCATCTTTGAACCATCAACATACCTGAGAAAATCACAGAGACTAAAGTACCACTGTGTATCATAGGCCTTAGGACTGCGAAGTTGGATATCGGCTTGCAAGATATTCGGCGCAATCATTAAAAAATTGGACAAAAAATCACCTTCAAAGCTAAAAGAAACCAAATTTGGTGTATTAATTCTAGCCGCCAACGCATAGCCCCTTTTGTTACCTTTGAAAACAAAGTGTTTCAAGTGCTGACTAAAGACTTGGATTTGCTCAAACTTACAGTTACAAACACTCAAATTCTGAAGAAGAGGCAGCCTAAAAATCAGGTCTTCGAACCACTGATCACGAAACCTCATATTGGAAAATAAGAGATGTTGAATTATTCCACAGGATAAAAGAAGGTTAGAGTAGTAAGGAGCTCTATTGTATGCGAAAGACTGAAGATTCACAGATTCAACATGAAATGTTGTTTCGAGAGGCCTTCTCCGAGGATTCGACGGCTGAGTAGCACCATAAACAATTTCCAAAAACTTAAGGGTTGAATTCAGAACTCTTGGATTCACCAAATTCGCACATTCTTTTAAAAGCAATTTCTCAAGGGAAGAAAAGCCTATCAATAGATTATTGAGCTCCACATCATTTGTTTCGACCTTCTCTAACGCCAAAGATACAAGCTTCGGAAGGTTAATAGAAGTTGTATGGGGCTTCAATATTCTCACACCACACAACTTTAGAGAAGTCAATGATGTTAAGCCAGATGCATCAAAGGGAAAGGAGTACATCATCTGAATTGGGGTGTGTTTTCTGATGCAGAGATCCAATTCCTTCAACTGACTACTCGAAAGCAATATAGCCAACCAATAATCTATGGCGGTATGATCCTCAAAATAAGCCTTCATATCAAGCGTAAGACTAGTCACA